CCTCTTATGAATCCGCCATACTGTTAAGCATGTTTATGGAAGAATCAACTAATGTAACACGAATTTTGATGGTAAAAAAGGTACATTTGGTTTTGATGCTGACATGTGCAGGGGATGCATAAACCTGTAGCGTAAAGGGAAAAAAAGTGGTTTGCATTTGATCAGGTTTCCATTTCCTTTCAAACACTTCATGTGAATCACGTAGTGATCTGTTTGAAATCCATAATTTTTAAGATGCTTTACCAGAATGATTTCTTTATCTGGTTGTTTAGAACGATTTTAATGGAAGAAAAGTGTTCTGTTACCTAGTTTGCAAACATCATGATCTTGAGTGGCTTTGGGTTACTCAGGTAATACATGGAAATATTAAAGCAGTTGTCCATATTTGGGATGGGCTCTAGAACTGGATTCTTTATAACTGAAGGAGAGATATTGCTTACCATTGAATGAAAATATGACAAGCAAGCTTCTGAAGAATATATGAAGCGCTCTCTAATCTGCCTACCTTCCTTGCATCTGGTTAAAAAAACTTATTCTCTGGATTGTTGTCCCTCTGCTTCAGTGGAATAAATGCTGGCTTTGCAGTGTAGAGCTCACAAGGTAATGTTTATGATGTAAGGAGGGAGCATTTATTCAACTAGGAAAGGGTAGCACTGGTAAAAGTGATGCAAGGACAGCGCCTTAGCCATTGGTTTACATTTCCAGAACAACATGGAATACTGTAAAAAGTTTGGGAATGAATACTAGTGTGCACTGTTAGAGTATGATACATGGAGAACTAGAAGGATAATGTTACATAAACTATTACCAATAACAAATAAGATGAACCAAATGGGGAAAACTGTGTGATCATAACAAGACAAATCATTAAAGGTTGACTGATTATTTAAACTGCAATGCATGGCACAACTCATGTTAATGCTGAGGAAAAGAATGAAATCATTTGGGCTTTTCTTTACCAATGACCATGAGGGTTGGTTTCAGATCCCTTATATATCAAATTTCAACTTTAATGACTAAATTCCCCATTTTTGTTAAATTTTATATTGAAAATGCAAAGTTTCTCTTGAGTATATATAACATAAATATATACCTAAATTCTAAGGGAGTGTTTCAAAAGGGCCCTCATGTCAGGTATCCATTTGATTGCCAGGTGTGTTGTTATACTACGGTTAGATCTTCACCTCTCCCCCCTTTTTTTGGCTTCATTGTGTTTTACAGGGTAAGAAATACAACATTTATGGTCCTTGTTTTTACAACAGGTTTCTAACAAAATATACCAGTTTTTACAACAGGTTTCTAACAACAAAATGTACCAGTATTTGCAACAATATATATTTTTTTCTTTATTAATAGTAAAATCAGAGTCCTGCAGAGTCCTGTTATAATTAACAATACAGCATTTTCAAGATATCATCTTAAAATACAGAATCACTAGACCCCTAAGAAAATTCCTCTACTAGCTGGAAGGAGAAACTATAACACATCATTTTCTATTGGAAAGTCTTGACGCATTTGCTGCAAAATTATCAATTTCTCATCTAGTAGTTCTTCTCTTCCTGGGAGAGTCCAACCAAATCTTCACTGACCTCCCACAGCTTTTTGGCTAATCCCTTATCACTGGCTAAATCTGAGGGCTTGGTGATCTGAAAGACAATCATTATTGGTACCGATTTCACATCAAATCTGATTTCCCAAAACTGACCTCCAATTTGTGATACCTTGGATTTATACATGATTTAATATTTCTTTATTTATTCACACTAAGGAAAATGTTATAAAACTGCAACATATCAGAGTCAAATGCATTTGTTTTTTTTTATTATTATTTTCAATATAATAACATTGTGGTAATTCCATCAATCACACTTTATAGTAATGAAAATTTATTTGGGTAAACTAATTAGATGTAAATATCAGCAATGATCAATGAATTAACTGATTTTACATATTTATGTGGAGGCATCAAGTTATAATGGGCAGTGTCTTAAAGCAGGATGTACTGATATTTCAGTTTTAGAAGTACAAGTTGAGGGACTTTTGAGCTTAACTGTAATGAATATCCTATAATTTCTTTCAATGGAACTTTGGCCTAATGTCACATGGAAATGGTATTATCATACTAGTATTACAACAGTATAACAAAACTTCTATGATAAAGGTCAAAGAAACAAAGTGTGAATTTTGTTCTTGTGGGGAGCTTTAAGTTAAATCTAAAATAAGCTGAATGTACCATTTCTCAGATGATGAAAGAACAAAATACATTGTATAGATGAAAATAACTACCACCAATGTTATTCAGTTTATCATAAATCTCAGAAGTGTCCAGTTAACTTAATTTATTAATTGGGGTGGGACATTATTTCAAAAGAGAAAAAGTAGACATTAGTAGGGTTAATGTAATCAAACTGCACAGTGAATTTGCTCTAACATAAATCATTCATGTATGTTTCAGATAGATTATTGAGCCCTTACCTTACAATCTGTATAATACATTCCT